GATAGGTAATTTTGTAATTTCATTAAAATTAAGGGTTAAAATCGGTATAAGAAAAGAATGGTGAGGGTGAAATTGGAAAAACTAAAAAGAAAATTACATGAGAAATTGAACCGGTGGTTTTTTCGGTTTTATCGGTTCCATCGGTTTTATCGATTTTGACCGATTTTGAACGGGTTTGACCAGTTTTGAACGGTTTTTGACCGGTTTTGACCTCAAACGATTTTTTTGTGTGAACCGAGCCATTTTCATTACCGGTACCGGTTTGACCGGTTCAATCAACCGATTCGGTCCGATTTTAAAAACCTTGCTTGACATCCTTATTTAAAAAATAATAAAATTAACATTCTGAAATAAAAAAAAATGCAAAGTTAGAATCCTTATTTAAACCTTTACTCCTGCTGATTTCGCCGTCAATTCCTTGATTTCCAGCCGAAATCTTCTTTGACATTAAAAATGCTCTGCCAAGCATTCTCATGTGATTGAGTGGTCACATTTCCTTACGTATGGGAAGTAGTGAAACGTAGTACATCATCATTACTACGTTTCATCATCATTACTGAGTCGATTCTTCGATGGATATTTAAATAAATATTAACTTATTAATTATATTTTTTATGGTAAAAAAATACTCTGCCAACTGTAAATTTTTTTTATTTTATAAATATTGCCTTTGTTTTTTTTTTTTTTTTTTTGAACATGCATGAGAATTTGTATTATTTAATTAATAATTTACATCAGTACACAAAAGATTACGTAGCATTGTAGGTGGATTGGTGGTCCAGTAGAGAGGACACAAATTCTTAAGGCACTTTTTGGCCACCCAATCAGCTGCAGAGTTAGCCTTCCTGCATACATAGTTAAATTCACAAAAGGAGAAAGATTTGCACAGCTCCCACACGGATAGCACCAATGGCTCTATTTGCCAAGGCAAATGAACCTTTTTGTTAATAGCTTGCATGAGCTCTTTGCTGTCTGATTCAAAAATGATGTCTTTGAGGCCATTCCTAGCTGCCCAGCCTACTGCAGCTCTTAATGCAAGAGTTTCAGCCATTAAAATAGAACTAATTGATTGTTTGAAGGCCAAACCATCAACAAGAATACCCCTACTGTTGCGACAGACCACAGCTAGACCTGCAACACCGTTTTTAACATCCACAGCTGCATCGGTATTACATTTAACAACATCTTCGGGTGGTGGACTCCACCTTTGTAATTTATTCTCTAATCCATCCCGAAGTTGTAGCACTGGTGGA